TCTCAAGGCCAGATGCTACAACAGGGAGCCATAAAAAACGCAAAGCAGTGGAAAGAAAGAGTTCATTTTATACTCAAGTGGTTAACCTGGCCCTCTGCCCACAGATGTCTTTTCTACCCTGCGGGCAGCCCTCTCAAAAGTAAAGAAAGAAGCTTAATTGAGATTAATGGCCTTTTCTACTGGCATCCAGGGAAAGCCCTAATTAATAAAGCAACACACTGAACAGTGATTATAATTTATAATATGTGAAAACTTTAGAATACTTAAGAACTGACCAACACAACCCTGATTGAGAACTATCTTTCACCTATCTCACTTTACTTGTAATATAATGTACACCTGTCCAGTTCAAAGATAACATTCCAGTGTTTTATGTTTTAAAGCCAATAAACTTATTTTATATGCCAGCACTATCCATACACTTGTTGTAATCACACTTCAAACAGTTAGGACTTGAAATCAGCTTACTTTATGGTCACAGATAAAATTCCATAGATCTAAGTACTTGCACTCTTACATTTGTTGATTTTGCTTCTAGTGTCAATTTTTAGGCTTTCTTGAAACATTAGTTTTTCTCCACTACCTATCACCTGTAATGACATTATACATTTTCTCTCACACTGTTGTGGAACTACTATTTTCCATATCGAAAAAGGCCAAAAATTTTCACACAGTAACTCCTGCCTCAAACCAATTGTTCACAGATGAATGAGAATGATATCCTGTTAAAAAGTGTACAATTTAAGAAATTCGCAACAGAGATTTAATCATATTGAAAGGTATGCTTATTCAGCCTGAAAAAAATATATTCAAGTGTTGAACAGATAACCAAGTAAACAGCAGAAATGAATCAAGGTATGTGTTATCTTCTAACCTCTCTATCATCGTTACTAGACGATGCTCCACTTTTCCTCAGTAGATAAATCTGTTTAAACAAAGAACCAATAAGTTAATCATTCTTCACCAAGCCTACAAAACTTTCTGCAGCCATCTTAGGGAGAATATAAAAATTTTACTAATACTTTCTGCCTCAGGCTTAGGGTCTCATTCTGTTGTATTAAGAAATGGCCTTTCAGTCCCAGAATGGGAAAGAGATTCATAGAGTCAGCAACAATTCTTCTGTGACCATACAATTAAGCTTCTCTTGCAGACCTTTCCAAAGTTATCCTTACACAATGTATTTATTTTACTCACAAAAATAATGGGCCAATCTTATCTGCATTTCAAGAAAACATTTTAATATTAAAGACTGCATGTTATAATGCTTAATACAAAAGTGGCTGAAACTTCTACCAACCAGGCAGAGCAGAGCAGGACAACCCCTTCCCTCGCCCGATGCCAGTGCTGGCCCTGACACAGCTAGGGAGAAAACAAAAGAGCTCACAAATAATTATATGAGACGAATAAGACAGCTTTAAGATCAACTTTTATTGAAAAATTTAAACTGCATTGCATATCTTCTTTATAACTTCAACATTTCTTTAACCACAAAACAGAGATTCTGTTTAAAAAATCTCTTCGTTTTTGTCACCATTCTAAAAACAGATTATCAACAGTAACAACAATTTTAAAATCCTGGGCTACTACCAAGTCCCCTGGTTCTGCCTGTTTGCAATGAATGGTATAATCTAACAATCTTCTCCAGAGAAGAACCGTTAGTAATACAATCAGAATTTTTCTCATTCAAAATCAACAGCTGCTGTTGATTTTCATCTAATGATCAGCCATTTCCATAAAAATTACTTCAGTTCACAAGCTCTGTAACTACAAATTCAGCCTAACACTTGCCTATAATTTATTTGATCTGAATTCACCCATACCAAATTACAGTGATTGTCAGTGTAACTTAAAAGACAAGATTGCTACCTTAGAATGTATTTTAAACCTCAGAAGAACAAAGTTACTCACCTGAAATGCTTTGAATTAGTCAATATTTCTGTATGTCCATACCTCCTGAACTCTCACAGTCAGTAGTGTATGGATTAAAAAAACAGGAACATCCCAGGTAACCTTTTGTTTGAGAAGCTGCAAGATATTATTCACAAATGGAGATTACCTACTGAGAAGAAAACACAGATGAGTTTTCTTACTGGTGAATCATAGAATCATAGAATGGCTTGGACTGGAAGCAGCCTTAAAGTTCCAACTCCTAGTGAAAATCAGCTAACCACATTGGAAAATATTATGAGCCCTGTGATATTACAATTAAAAGCTTCACAAGAAAAAATATAATTATGGGTATCACCTGTGACAAGACACAACACTGCAGAAAGGCTAGATAAAATTCTGAGTGTTGAAAGATGGATTTAAAGCACCTGTCTCTGGAGAAAACACCTCTGTGTTAACTGACTCGTTTCTGAGGCAAGCTGGAGGAGCTCAGCTTCCTCCTGGATACAAATCATCAGTGGCAACAGCTACAACCTCTGATGCTTCTTACCTCCAAAAAGCAAGATATTTCACTAAATGAAGCAGCAGAAATTTTAGCAAGCAGGACACAGACTATGTGCTGAGGAGATCTAGTTCTATTTCTGACAACATCACAGGACTGCCCAAGGCTTGTTGTATGAATGCCAGTAAACCATATTACAGTCTGTCCTGTGGTTTCACAGCCAGTTACATCAGATAATTCTCTTTAGTTTATATGCTTCTAAGGAATATAAAATTTCAAATACAATTACTATAATATTGAGATGATGAACTGGATACCAGATTAAATGTTAACATTAGAGGATTAAATTTAAGCTGGATCTTACAGTTTTAGTAATGCATTTGGTGAGTTAACTTGACAAGGGAGCAAAGTAAGGTCAGTTGTTAACTGTCTTTGTACTGATTATCCTAGTTCATATTGTTTCTCATAAACCACAGGGACTGTGGGAAATCCTTTAACACTCTGTGGCTGGACTAAAAAGCGAGAAATTGTGAGAGACCAGATCTCAGACTTCCCATTGAAATACGGCAAGCTCTTTCCCTTCAAAGCTACTTCTTTCTGCTCTTAAGAACAGTTCCCAGTGACAGACCATATGGTTTTGCTGAACAGCTTATAAAGAATGGCAATTAATGTTACGAAAGTTGTTACTGAAATCAGTATTCACATTGACTGTATCTGCATGGCAGGCTCAGGTCTCAGTCTCAGCAGATGTTTACACGAAAAAAGTTAACTAGTAAAAACATAGCAAGATATCAGCAATATAATTAAAGAAGGTTAATGTTTAAGATGAAAAAAGTAAGATACTAACTGCACTGTATTGATGATGAAAGTAACCTAATAAAAGAAATACTGTGCTGTGGAAGGGGGATGAACAATACTCCTATGAAAAGCTGGAAAGGCTGTGCTGCATGATACACTATTTACCATTTTAAGATTCTTCCTTCTATCTGTTCTGACCCTGCTGAAGATGTGAGACAGCATGCCCAGAGGACAGCCCATCAGATCTGCAGGATGGAAGTGTCTGGTATCTGTAGCTGTCTCGCTTTCCACAGGAACTAAGGGGGGTAAAGAGGATGTGAGGAAGGCATAATGTGCGCTCACTGAACATTTGTAAAATAATTTTATTACTGATTTGGAGGAAAAAGAAAAAAAAAGGAAACCCAGCTAATTATTGACTTGCGTGGATAATAGACCTAGAGTCATATATGAAGAGGTTTAAAATCAGCATATTCCATTTATCACAATGACAGTAATTCTGTAGACAGAGAACTATTGAATTTTCATTTTGTTCCACTATTCTGCTTTCGCTATGGAGTTTTCCACTTTTTAGTATTGATTATACGATGATTAAAACTGAACAAGCTGCAGATGGCTCTGGTGTCTTTTCTTCGAAAAGTCTGGCTGGTTTAAATTGCTGTGACATGTCAGCTGCATTAAAAGATTCTGAGATGAATTTTTGTTCCTTTTTTTTGTTGTTGTTGTTGTTCCAAACATACAGTGAATTTAATTTCACTGAAAGAACGATGCTCATTTAGACTCCCACATAAATGCTACAGACCTTCAGGAATTTCCCCACAGAATTTACTTAAAATGGTCATAGAGATTAGTCCTGACATACAACTCAAAAACAGGGGCCTTGGTTAGCAACCAATATTCACTAGAAAATCATTCAGAACACTGAACAGACAGTCAGACATTACATTTAATAAACTGAAATTTCTAATAGATTAAGGGGATTTCATTATTTGACAGCCTATGTACAACATTAGAACTCCTTAAAATCAGTAAAATTATCTGTAAATTATCATTTTAAGGGCACTAGGATTTAAATGAAAGTGTTAGCTAATATTTTTGTATCTTTTCTTTGGCTCACAAATACACTAAAATACCATAAACATTATTTAGAACTTCAATAATATATAAATAGGATACATTACAAATGGAAGAAAATACAAGACAACTCTTCAGCATGGTAAATCTCTGCGTATAAATAAGCAAATATTTTGTATACCTACAATTCAACAATTACCTTGCTGTAAAACTATTACATTTAAATCCTTTTACACAAAGTCATTTAACAATAATATACACAATCTACACAAATTAACCTCTAAAAATACAGCAATAATATACCTGTTACAATGACTCTGCTACTATTATCCCCGATGTGACACTAAAGGGAAAATACAACTATTTTACTCGAAGGTGCTGTTAGAGATTGCTGTTTCGTATGTGACGGAAGCACCAACAACAAGATTCAATACTGTTATACATTTTCTTTAGCTCCTAAGAATCTACTTTTTAGAAATGTTTCTATGTGTCTATTTTTACCTGGCAGGAAAACCTGTAGCACATTATCCACATCGTTAGTTGTTGAAGGAAAAGTTAATTTTCTTAAAGTGGAAAACATGCTGTGGCTTAGATCTAAGTTCATAACCTCTTTATATATTTATATATATATATATATGTATATATATATAATTATAGATATATATTTATACTGTACATATATACTGTGCAGAGTTCTTAATTTTCTATTTTCACACTTACTAATTTCCTGCTGACAAAAAAACAAGACCAATCTAAGAGTCAACAGTACTTCAACTTCAAGATAATACATTTTCCCTCAGAAAAGTGATCTACCAATACACATATATTTCAGTAGCCTATAAGTTTTTGTCACTGCTTAAGGACGTCTTAGGAGATTGAAACTTACAGAAAGAGAATTTCCTTAAAACATGTTCTGCAGAACTGGGTTGAAAAAATAACCAGTACTGGAAAACAGTGAATTAGAGAAACGAATAACTCATCCATTGCACTACAGCTCCTGCCCCAATCTCTCTATTTCCTCAATGAGGAAGTCTATGTCAGACTTAGTTGCTGCTGGGTTTGAGATGACCATTCGGAAGAAGTTGACCTTATCGCCCTGAGGCTGATATCCAACCATGGTAGTACCTGACTCCATCATCAGGGCTTTGATTTTCGGTGCCACCTTTAGAATTTAAAATAGAGGGAGGGGAGGAGGGACACAAAGAGAGAGACAGAGAGACAGAGACAGAAAGAGAAAAAGAGACTTTGAGAATTTTTGTTTCTTCTTTGAATATCACAAGCTGTCTAAATTTAGGGAAAACAAAAAGGAGTGAAACGGACAGTTTAGAAAAAGCAATATAAGATCTGTAAGAGAAAAAGCTGGAAACTTCAGTGATTGAGTATTTGAAGTAGAATTGACAATTATAATATTAATCTTCTAAGAATTCTTTTTAATTAAGAGACTAGCAGCATCCTCGTATATTCAGAATGCCATATTTTAATACATCTAATGTATATAGTTTGTATGTGCTGATTAATTTTCGTTATTCTTATATTCTGAGTATTTGAGTGAGAAGTACTGAATGTGCACAGTTCTACTACAGCCTTTGGATAAAAGAGATATGTATAATTCTGATGTCAAGAAATGTTGGGGACAGAGAGTGTTACTGTTTTGTTGTTTTGTTTTTGGAAAACTCACTCCAGAATCAACTTTATGAGGGCCATGGATGTTTTCATGAAAATATATTTATTCTCAAAGTCAACTTGCTCAAGGGACAAGGTAGGAACAGCAGAAATTTTTCAACAAGGTCTTTGTTGTAAGGAATATTTTCTGCTAGCATAAGCCATGGAAAACTTCCAGCAGTTTTGCAGTACTGTGCATTTACCTCTGTTACACTTCCTCACTTTAATTTATAAGAAATACTGTTCCAATAGTCTTAATATGCAGTATTAGGTGAGCCCAGCTATGCCATCCAGACCATTCTGCTCTACTGTCTGCCAGCCAAGGTCAGAGCTCTGGTTCGTAACTGTTTTGCAGGATGCTTTATGATGGCCTTTAACAATTAAAATGGTCAAATAAAATATTTCATCCTTATTCCCAATCTTATCTAACTCCTTTTTTTTTTTTCCTCTCATTTTAGGCAGTTTCTCTAACTCTAGGTTGTCCCAGGAATGTCTGTTTTCTTTCTGGGGTGTGATAAACACAAAAAAATCTTTCACAAAAGCTCCCAACTTTGTCCATTCTTCTTCTTTTCCATACATAAAAAATGCAATTCATATTTTACAGCTATAAAATAATTCTGTTGTCTCCCAAATTTACTTCATTCCACTTCTATTTGTCTAAAATGCTACTACAATTTTTTTTTATTTCCCTCAGTTCCAAAGTAACAGAGAACTTCTCTGGTGGTGCCTCTACAGTACCTTCATTCCCCTCTACCACTTCTTTAAAAATACTGTCCCAAAGTCTTCCAAACCATATTCATTTTCACTTAAATGGAGTAATCAGTCAAACACTGGAAAATCTCCTGTGACCAACCAAGAGTTCCTAAAACCAAAATAAAAATCTGAGAAAAGACTTGCATGATTCCCTGCCTTATATCTGCCCCAGAACCTTCAAGTAATTACTCTTCAGTTTCTCTTTCTGAAATGCTGCCCTGTTCAAACAAGGTGGAGATGTCTTCTGTACCTAGCTACTTTTTAAATACTCTTATACACTTTTGGGACCACAGAAGGAATAGGAAACAAACAGACAAACAAAGCCTGATGGTGTTCTGTCTTTTGTTTCATAGAGAAAACGTGACTTCAACCCCAGCTAGAGATAAATATCAAAGCCATAACAAGATCTGGGAGAATGTTGGTCCTAGCATCTGGACCTTGAAAACACAGAGACATATTATTTTTAATAAAAATAATACTTTGGCCTGAAATAGCAGACTATACTTTTGCATTTATCATAAGCCTCATACCCTGTGCAGCTTTTCTCGTCTCTCATCACAGTCTGCCATGCCTCTGAGACTTGGTGGAATATACCAGAAACATACATTTGTGTGCTCCGGCTGCAAAAAGAACCAAATACATACATCAATAAAGTAATACAGGTCGGCCGTGTACTCTAATATACTTTAGCACAGATCTGGAAGCCAAAAAAAAAAAAAAAAAAAAAATTGCAGAACTAAGTTTTTGCATCTGCTATATTAGATTCCTTATACATTGTCTCATTTTAGCATCCTAATGCCATCTGGCAAATGCCTTCTACCTTCATGCAGTGTTACAGGAAACTGCTTTCCAGGCTCCCTAAATGGGCAATTCTATTTTCCTTTTCATAGTCAATGAAGAGACAATATATTTACGTTATTCTATCAGAGACTTTATACAATGGCACTAGTAACACAAGATATAGCAAAAGCAGCAGATTTGCAGTGAAATACATGGTGGCACCTGGAATCTCAGCATAAATAGATGACATTAAGGTAGTCTTCATGCTTTACATTCATAAATTACATAATACATAAATTTGGTCCCTACATATGGGTTAAGTGAAAGTAAACTTACCTCTCCTTCAAAAACCATCTCAAATTCTTCTCTGTTTTTTATTTTAGTATAGAGATATTCTGCCAGTTCCAGGCATTTGTTGATCTGATTTTCAAATCCCACTGTACCCTGTTTTAAAAAGAAAGTTAGTATTAGTTACAGAGTACTTTTTCTTCCTCAGATGCAATCATCTTTTCGGAGAGATTTCACTCTAAAATGGCTTCAGACATATAACATTTAGTAGAATTAATTTCTAGCAATTTAGAAGTAAAGTCAATCAGTTGCATCAGAAGCAGCTAAGTGGGTCAAAAACTGTAATCACCATTGGGTCCTGTTCTGTTTCTAAGAGTATTTATTATGTTAACAGGAAAGACTTTTGATATTTTTAATGCAGTATCTTTAGTTCTCTTTTCTTCAGTTTCTAAAAACACAAACATTAAGTCTTGTTTTCTCAGTTCTTGCTGAAAGACTGCAGAGATGGAAGAGAATTCCAACTGAAATAGTAAGATTTGGGAAGTAATCTATTTCATTTAAACAGTTTGCAAGAACTCTGCATTTTAAAAAGCCAGCAAATAAAAGCTTGTCTTCTTAAAGTCATTTGCCTACCACCTGCTCTTTTGTAGCACCTGATCTTCTGAAAGATCATAATCTCTTTAAAAAGATGAGTGCTGATAATAAATAAAATAGGAAAAACAAAACTTTTTAAAAGTACACTTCTGCATATGAATGAAAAATTAAAAATAATAGAAGCACACTGTTATTCATTACTATACTGCAGGAGTATTCCTGAACAACATTGACCTAGTGACTTGGAAATTCTCTTTTTCAGCCAAATGAATTGATGGTTAACATTGTTTTACTAGCTGAATGGTTCTTTTCTGACCACGTATCTGTGTGTGTACAGGTTGTGTTTACACAAGTATTAAAAAAGCCTTCCATTGCATTAAACATATAAATAAAATAAATAACTTCTGATGTTTTCACTGAGCTTTTATGATTTACCTTTGCCTTCCACATCAACCAGAATTTGAAAATGTCCACATGTCGACCACACTGTATTGCCTTATCTCCAGTGTCATAGGATACATCATACTGTTTGTCTTGCTGGAAAAGATATCCTGCACACATTTGATTGCAGCCTTGAAGTATACCCTGTAATGAAAAACACGTACATACATGAAATATATTGCATATGTGCATGTCAATCTGTATGTATTAATGATATATAAAGTTGTATATCAAATATATACAGAAGAATTGCTTTTTAAATGGACAAATTATGAAATATGGACCTTGTTTTGTAAACCTGAGACATAGACAAGATTTCATAACCTAAGGTGTTTTCCTTAGAACTTCCTCAAATGCATTTGTATTCTTAATTTCCAGCACTTACTTAGTTCATTTCATACGATAAGGCTGTGGTTTTAAGACCTAAATATTTGATGCATTAAATTACATAGTAGGTTACAGTTGCATCCTCTCAGGGCTGCATAAAGCTATAAGAAACGTAGAAAAAAAATTAAAGTCTCCAACTTCATATTTTGTCCAGTTTAATGACACTTGAAACTAGTAATGATTATAAACACTAATGATCAAACCTGGATGGTTTTTGCTTATCAAGTAAGGAGAAGAGGTGCATCACAATCACTGCTTTTAAAATGATGGCCTACAAACCAATAGAAACTTATAAATTATGGACAAGAGTCTACACAGAAAACACAAAGGAGAAAACTCCTATATGTTACACAGAAACTTAAAATACAGTGCAAGATAAAAAAAAAAGATCACAGCTGTACATTCTGTATACCAATGGAACAAAGAGGTAGGTGCTCAGATGAAGTATACGAGCATAGCTGTAGGTAGTGTAGTTAGTGTAGTTAGAATATGCAAAGATCCAACAGCTGAAGATCTGACCCATATTGCTTACAACTTTGACAAAAGAAAAATACAAAATAAAACAGACGTACAAGAATACCAATTTCCTAAGCACAGTATAAACCCAAATCATCATGCACTATTCTTTTGAAAAGTAGAATTTGATAGTTACAATTTTTTTAACTGTTTAATTACTAAATATAAAGCAGACCTTCTCCCGGACCAGAATGGCAGAACACTGCAACAATACTCCCATCATCTTGTGTGGATTCCAAGTGACTGAATTGGCTCTGAAAATAAATAAATAACATACACATTCAGATAGGTCTGAAAAAGAGAAATTCAAGCTGGAGTTTGCCTTAGTTATCTGCTTTGAGCTGGAAACATACAGAGTTTTTAACCAGCTGATTTCACTATGGAGATTATTACTGTCTCAGGTCTGTGTCTCCTTTCCCAGCTGTACTGTCCAGTAAAGGAGATTTTCCTGTTGACTTCAAATATCAGACTCCTGATCAGTTCATATTATTATTAATAACAGCTAATTGGTGTCAGACTGCATTGATGAGCTGAAATAACAACTTTGTCCCCCCAGAATCCCACTTTAGAAACAGTACTAACAAAACTAACAAAAACAGTGTGGACTGGGTGATGGGACAAAGAACTAAGGAAACAATCTGGAGCACTGGAAAAGTACAGTTATTTGCTGAACAGTTGATGGAAATATAAAAGTAAAGGAAAATTCACTTTGAATGCTTATCTGCTCTTCCAGCCAAAAGTGGCCTTTTCTGTGCTATCTTGCTAAGCCCATGGACCGTTAAAAGGCTATAAAACTTTATAATCCTACCATTCTGTGTGTAAAGGTTAAGACTCCTTATGTGTAAGCGCAAGTGGATGCACAAGATCATCTAATTTAATTGCCAAGATAAGACATTCTATATTTTTAATATATCAATCTAGACAGTTTAATGTTGATGCTAAAATAAATGTACCAACATAATATGTCCACTGACCTCCTCACCCCAAGCTATGAATTACCAAATATCTCTCAATTCACTGCATGTTCCAGAGAAGGAAACCATATAAAGATATTTAACAGACTACACATGTGTTCATGCAATCATAGAACCATAGAATATCCCAAGTTGGAAGGGACCCATAAGGATCATCAAGTTCCAACTCCTGACTCCACACAGGACTACACAAAAAAAAGACTACATACCTATGGGCTTTGTCTAGATGCTTCTTGAACACCAGAAAGCTAAGTGCCACATTTCCCTGGGGAGGCTGTTCCAGTGATTGAACCTCCTCTTGGTGAAGAACCTTTTCCTGATACCCAGCCTGAACCGCTTCTGTCACAACTTCTTTAAACATCATTGATTGAAATTTCAAAGAGCTCTCCCCCACTTCTACCCCCTGCTCCCAGAGAACCAGCACAACTACAGTTCCTGTTTCAGGTAACATGGCAATTCATTCACTCCAATCTGAAGACCACATATTCCATAAAGATTCCAGATACAAATCCAACCTCCATCTGCACTAGGCCGGATAGGAGCATATCTCAGGCAAAAGAATAGTGTGGCTTAGGCTGCATCTGCAGGGTGTACCCTCTTTCTAGAGCCTCCTTAGGCAGTATAGACCAGCAGGTTAAGTAGGTGTGCCAATTAAACTTGTGTGGGTAAAATAAATTGTTTTTACAATATTAATTTCATATTAAGATATGTTGCCTGTGGCTAGCAAATTGGATCTGGCATACTGCTCTGCTGATTCAGAGTTCTCCTGCTACAACATCCTATATTGTGCCAGAATCCATATGTTTCTCCTACCAGTCCTGCCATACATCATTCTTTCTTACAGTACAAGATGCCCACCACTGAGAAAGTCTATTTAAGAACTCCATTCACTGCTCTCATTTTATGCTTTTAGAAATTGTCCACATTTGGCACAGTTGTCTCAAGGAAGAGAATGTGGAGAGAGCTTGTTTCAGATCTTCTTTTTACTTCCCTGGAAGCTGATACTTGCAGTGATGGGGAAGATCTTATGATTCTGGTTCTTCATTGCTATTCTGACTTTTCTTCAGATGAGCAGCATTTTATGACAGAACAGTTTCAGCAGAAATCTGGAGACAATTTTTATAATCCTTAAAAACTATGCCTAGAACACTCTCCTCTCCATCTTCTGACAAGCAATATCCTTGCCTTCCTTTGAATCTCCTGAAAACTTGGCTTTCACTGATGCGTATATACACCTCACTGTTGTCTCCTACAGAATTGTTTGTCATACTTCTAGTTAATTTAATATTTAAATTCTTTATTCCAGCAAATTCATCTTTTCATGAATTTGTGCAATGTCATGTACCTCACTAAGTTAAATAACAGGATTACTAACAAAGTGTGTAGTACCTTTCTATTCCATTCAGTTTATGGCGATGCTTTCGGGACATTAAGAGTCCACCTCCCCAAGCAGCCTGGAAGGGACAGGAACAAAAGAGAAGATTTGTCATTCTGAAAAGCCTAACATATTTTAACTTACTCAGGATCTAATAAATATTTTGTTTCAAGACAAAATATGTAAACCTAAATCCTCCATTGCCTGACTAATAACATGACAGTCAGTTACTTACATCTACGTGCAGCCAGAGGTTGTATTTTTCACATATATCTGCAATCTCCTGTATTGGATCAAAGGCTCCATAAACTGTTGTGCCCGCAGTTGCATTTACAAAGAGAGGAACGTATCCCTACAATGCAAATAACAGGATTATTTACAGAACCCAGCCTCTTTCAGGAAAAACAAAAAGTGAAAATCACGATTTTGAATTAGATGAAATAAATGTGAACTGCAGCTCTATGGAGTTTGCAAGTGTAAAGAAGTTAAGAAATCAAGAACAATCTTGGTAGCATTAACTTTGGTGGTTTTATATAAAATGGTTAGATTTCTCCTTGCAAGGAATAACAATAAATGCCTCAAAATCAAGCTTACTGGCTACAGTTACTGACCCTGCACTCTCACACTTGAAAGCTAAGGGAATTTTTAGGATTATCATTCAACAGAATTTTTGATGGTTTGACCAAACATCAAAGTTTGGCAAAAATAGTTTTAATTTCTCATTTTAGCATTTTTCCATGTATTTCCAAAGAGAAGGTTATTTTTAAAAGTCAAAAAATACAGATGTGAGACAATATATAAACAAACAAACAAAAATTCTTTAAACAGTAAATAGAAATCATTGCAAGATAATTCCCTAAACAATACAGAAATACATAGTTAAACAGTTGAAAAATACTATTACAAGATTTATATTGTTTTAATGTATTTGTTTAATGCTACCTGTCAGCCTTCCAAGGAAGAGGTATCACATTTTATTAAGCCAAACATTGAAGCACTATTTAAAAATAAAAAAATAAAAAAAAAATACAAACCTTTTGTTTTGCTTCCAAAATTTTTGCTTCCAAATCAGCTGGTATTATTTTTCCTCTGTAATTATTGTAAAAACAAAGACAAAGAAAACTGAAGATTGTATACAGAAATACTAGATACAGTTGAAATAACTTAATAGCATTTTCTCAACAGGTGATTAGCAACTCGACACACTGTATTGAACCAGCCCTTAAGTATACTAAAACAAATTTAACAGATGAACACATTTAATATATCAAAACATTAGCATCCAACTTACCTTTCATTGCACTTTATCAAAATTACATTGTCTGTTCCAAACCCAAGTGCAGCTCCAGCTTTCTTTATTGAGTAGTGACTCTGCAGGAAAGCATGTGCATATGGAGGGGTCATTTAATAACAAAATGTACACCAATAAATTGACAATTAGAAGTGTGTTAAGCTCACATGTTCTGAGGTAAAGAGAACCAGTTTAGGGACTGCAGCCATGCCTTTGGTTTTGACTTCAGGGAAATATTTGTAGCGTGCGGCCATTATGCTGTACATGTTGGAGATGGCTCCTCCTATGAGTAAATAAACAAATGAATACTAAAATAGTGATAAGAAAAAATGAATATTATACCAAAGACACACAAGCCTCGTTGGCATTATCAGGGAAAGTGGCAGCGAACTATGAAAAGCAAATCTCTGAAAAGCATGGCATCTGTCTAAGTAGCATAAGAACAGATGCTCTAGAAAGTTATATAGGCTATATACCAATAGCCTAATCTATCATCTCTTTCAATTGCTATTATTTTGTAACACTTTCCTAAAATTATCAGTTTTCGTTGCACTGCTTTTGCAGGACAGCTTCTTGTTAGTAAGAAAAATGGGAAGTTATCAAATTCTCTCGAGGCTAAAGTCAGGTACAGTATAGATTTATCCCATCTCATCTGTAAATGCAGAACCAGATGCCTAAAAGGTAGGTTTCTCCAGCTAAGGTAGTAATCCTAAGCTACCTTCATAGTGAGTTTAAAGAAAGAGGCACTTTGCAGGCTGATGCAACTAGTATATTTTGATACTTCTGAGGAACGTGAGTTGAAGAAAAAAAACATTTTTTTCTCTTTCTTTTATTCTACAAAAAGCCCAGTCCAGACATCTTAGCTGTACAATGCAGGCATCAAGATTTAGTAAGAAGAATCTCATCTATAAAGTTTAGGAGAATTTATTTCACGAGTATTTCTTCATCAACCAGAACACTGGGCAAAATTTTTCTCACAGATGGGACTAGAAATCAAGCAAGAGTGCTTTCCTGGATTTTACACGGGCTGTTCCAAGAGGAGAGGTGAAATTTGTCCTTCATTCTCTGAAACAGGATGGTCCACCCCTCACCCAGAAACCTGGAGTACTGTTGGGTGCCCATGTCCAGACAAGGACCTGGGGCTTCCACCTGTTTTCCCATTCTTATCTACCGATTGCTGATAGCTTTTATACAACCCTCACAGGAAGACAACTGTGGCCTGTTCTTCAGAACCAAACTTCGGGAATCCAGCTGGTTTTCTGAAAGTTACATGTAGCCTCTTTTTCTCAATAGCAGGACGTGGCTCTGGAGGTGAGCAGCTCGAGAAATGAGGCACAACAAAGAGTGTTTAAATGCCTAACCATGTTCCAGAATTTGTAATCAAGCTTTAAAAATGTTACCAGTGTTCTATGTAGCCATGATACATAGCAATACTCAAAAATAAAAATCTCTTTTTTCTTCTTCGTGGGATGCTTGAAAAATGCATATACTTCAGGTGGGAAATTCCTATTTGTAAAACTCTGACATGTTGCTTGATATTTCACACAGAAAGTGGATATTCAGACAGAGCTTATGGTTATTTTAACTTTTGAAATTTTAGCCAAGCCTCCAAGCACAAGAGAAAAACCCACCAGGTGAGAATATTCCATCACCATCTTTATTCGACCATCCAATAATCTCTCTCATCTTTCGAAGTGTTATTTGTTCCATGAGGACAAAAACAGGGGCAATTTCATACGTAAACCTGTATGGGTAAAGCAAACAAAACAAACAATTAAATACAAATTCAAAAAAAACCAATTGCTTCAGATTCCTAAAAACTTTCCTGTAATTCAAGGATCTGATATTGCAAACCTCATGCAAGCAAATATCCTCAAAAAACAATATGTGAAATACTGGTCTATAAAGACCTGCAATATCAATAACTACTCTATTACAACCAACGTGAGACCTATATTCACCATCACAGAGCTTCTGACTGCTATGTTGCCACGCATTTGTCTCCCAAAGTGACAATTCTTTATTAAAACAGTGAACTTCAATGAGCTAACCACAGTCATAATTAGAACTATTGAGCTAGAGCTCCAAAGTCTAAATACAATTAATTACGTGGATTTATTCTGTTGATGATCTCCAAGGACAACTTATTTCTACAATACCATGTGATCAATAACTGTCAAGAGTAATTATAAATGATGATTTTCTAATTACCAATTACAAATACAAGACAGCAGTCAACGGTTGTATCCATTTAATGAAGGCAAAAAGCAGTGCATAGCCTGGCGTGCCATGATGTCACCCACAGAACTGCGGATGGAAAGTGACAGCCATACAACCACTTCTGGGGAGGAAGCTACATGGATAAATTGCTACTGCTGTAAATAAACTAAGTGTTGGGTATGCCAAGGAAAAAAAAGAAATAAAAATATAGATAGATAGATAGATAGATAGATAGATAGATAGATAGATAGATAAGGGGGGGAGGGAGAGAAAGAACGCAGGAGCAGAAAGAAACTAAGCATTCCAGCTGTGATTTTTAACAGAATCTTTAGGAGGATGACACCCTGACACTTTGGAACTGCATGATCATTTCTGTTTTCAATGTAAATAATTTCACCACAATTTACATGTGGTTTCTTTAATACTGAAACGACACCGAGTATTATTATGGCAGACCCTAGGGGCACAAGCTATTCCTGAAAGCTTGCATTTCACTTATGTCTACATTGTTTAGTTTAAAATAGTAAAGTTCATATCTTTGCTGACAGCTGTCACTGCTACTTTGAGAAGCAAAAAATATGATTTCTTTTGATTTTATCATGATCAGAACTGTCAGAGACAGACAGCTGAATACCAATCTGGAATTTGGGTGCTACCAGTGATTACAGAGACATAATATTAACAAACCAGTTGATGTCTGCAACCTTCTCAGTATAAAAAATACCGCAGTTCATTTTGTTCTGTGTTTTTTCACAGAAAACCCTTTGCTGAGGCACATTCCAAATTCCAACCTCTATTTAGGCAGAATGCCTTCTGAAGCCACAGGAGCTCAGCAGTGTGCTGTGTAGCCTATATACAAGACAAACTGAAGTCAAAGTGATTTTCTCCATCAGTTTAAATGCATTTTGAATTTTATCTGGAAACCTGGCACGTTCACCCCTATGTGCCTCCTGAAAGACTTCGGCATTTATACAAGTGCACAATATTAAGCGAGATCTTTGTTTATAAAATACTAAGACATCACATGGGAAATTGAAAATGTACCAAAAACCCAAGTAAAATAGCGTCTATTGATTTTGTTGTGCAATTATTTTCTGAGTCCCTGAAGTCTGACAAAGAAATTAAAAAACCACAGCAGATGGCTGTAAGTAATAGGGCAGCGTAGTTATGTTAGAGGACGGCTGCCGTTTCAAAAGTCATGTCTTGCTCAAGGTAAGCACAAATCGTTGCCTGTCTTAAACTTGAATGATTTTGAAAATTTCTGTAAAACTCAGAAAATGTGTTTCACACCCCATCTCCTGATTAAACATATTGATTTCAATTTTGGTATGCAGTTACAGATGTTTCTATAAATCAACAATAGTCACAAGCCCTAGGTCTTCACTAACAAAAGAAACGAATGGGTTTATGTTAGGAGTGGCCATGCTGACTTAATTCTTTGCTCACCTAGGGGCAGGTGCATTTTTATCAGGACAAATATAAAGCATTGTATATCATTCTTATATGTTACTTTTTCATAAGCAATGATGCATAATACTATCAATATAATTCTCTCATCTTAGCTACCAGAGGCATAAAGGGAACTTCCAGATCATACTATTGCTCTCCAGCCCCCAAGTGAGAGATGCCCAGAGCTGACTGAATAACTGCAGCATCTGAGGATTCCAGCAAAGCCCTATGCTCGGTGGTTGAGCTACAAATAGCACATTGGTATGTTATTTCCAAGTCGATGTGGGGAACTTATTACATTTAATTTAATCTATTGTCTTCACAGTGACATTTAAGGAACAATGACAATATAATGACAATATAATATTTCTTAAGAGAATGCAGATGTTTCTGTTACTCAAAATTCTCTTGGGGAAAAAAAAAAATCTATTCCTCTAACTGCACACTAGTATTTTAAGTACTCTTTGCAGGTGGAAAAGGTGGAAAAGAAAAATGGCAAATGGAAGACATTCCCTACTGCAACCAAGCATTACTGTTGCATTACATGGTTGTGCAATTGAAAGGTGAAAGCCACTCCTAGATAAAGGTCAGAACCTGTTCTTCTGCGCTGGAACGCTGCTCAAAGAGCCGCTCCAGCCACTGTTAATAACCTTGTCAGCACTCTGAACTCATATTTTACAAACACCTTGCTTCAACCATACTTGCAATTACTGCATTACTCTAAGGCACATCATGTTGACCTTGGTTGGCTGAAAAAAAAAAAAAAGCAATATACCATTTTCCATTTGGTAAACCTCATGCAAATAAATAGATGAAGATACTCACAGAAAATTATTTGCAGGATATGTTCAAGTAAATGGATCAGAAGTTAACTTTACAGAGCTAGCTATTCAACTACTTACTCTTAAAACCAAAATAAGAAAGACAAAAGCAACCTCATTAAACAGTTGCTTTTCAGAACTGAATAAATGTGACGTTCTTAATAATGATGGCAACATTTCCTAAGGTTATCACAGCCTGCCACAGAGCTGAATTCTGATATCCCTTATCATATTCGTGCAATTTCATTTATTACAAAAGAAGAGCTAAGCTGGGATAACTCAGTCAGTCGAAGAGAATAAGGCCTGCAAAATGATGCTCTGAAGCTTGTTTTTGACACAGAGAGACAACATTTAAACAATTTCAAAAATGGAATCAGAAACATTTTAGCTTTTACTCGTGGCGCTGAGAATTGCTTTACTATTAAAACGTACACTGGTGCTGTTTGTTTTGCTTTCCCAAACAGCTTTTACATCTGAGTATTTTATAATACATTATATATTTCACAATAACACTAGTTGAAAAGATGATAACTGTAAAGGGCAGGTTGGCTTTGACTGGAGCACCTGATACTCTTTTCCTTAGTGCTAATGGGGAAATGAGGAAAAAAGCTCATGTTCAGATCTGCAGCTACATTTCTTGCATTCTGCCAATAAGCAGCAAGGTACCCAGACTAGAGGCAGCTTTACAGTTAAAACACCCTCAACAAAGGGTTAAAGGGGAAGGCACATTTTGGAATATATAGAAATCAATGCACAAAAACTACCAGGAAGTTTTCTTCGTGGGTTATGCTCTTCACTGCAAAAATTCAGCACAATAACTTGCACTTACTTTCATTAAATTGATTAATTTTCATTAATTTCATTAATTAAGCTTTCAATAATATCGAGGTAAAGAAAAACTAGGTAGATTTCCCACTGGCAGATTTTAGATGTAATTTACTTTTTAGTGCTTTATTTATTCATGTACTGCTTTTACAAACCTTAGTCTGGGCAATTCCTTCCCTATCACCACATTAACTTCCAGTGATACGTTTTAACCCTTTCGAGGCCACCCAGAAGCAGCACAGGGACAGGTGGTGGCCCAACTCTTATACATCAGAAGCCAACAGGAGGACAAGCAATTGTTTTACATAGTTTGTGTTCCACTGGTACTAATGTGGGATTACCCAATTTAAAGACAAACAATTAAAAAATATATCTGGAGAAGATCTACAAGAGTGATGTGAGAGATGAGAATTATTTCATCTTGTTCAATAAGGATCAGGTTATTATTTTTATATTAGAATTGGCATATTTCATTTATGGTGTGCACTGGGATATTTGGGTTTATCGGGACTGTGAAACGGTTACAGTCTATATGACTATTTGCTCTGTATTACAGTCAGGGGAGACACAGCAAATGGCACTGAAGCGCACGTCTGTCGCGACAGGCGACAGCCAGCTAAGCACAACCCTAACGCGGCAGCTTACATGTTGGTGTTAGCGGTGGATGTCAGCCACTCCCCCGCCAGGCCGATCATGTCCAGGCCCGTGGACAGCTGATTGAAGAAGCGCGGGTGACCTGCAAGGGAACGAGAGCAGCTTGGAGCGGCTCCGTCAGCTCCGCAGCCCCGAGTTTATCCCGTCTGCCACAAATCGCAACACTCGCGACACCGCCGGCGGCGCTTCCTAAACAACCGCATAAATCTAAGAGCGTTAGCATCACGTTAACGGACGTTTCTATCACGAGAGCCCCTCAGCGCTCACCGGCACTGCTCGCCGTCGCCGCGACGCGCGATACGGGGCGCTATGCCAGGAGCCACCCCGCCACCTCCCACCGCCATCCGAGGGAGCCGTGCCCGGGCCGCGGCTCCGGGAGGGGAACGGCACCGCCGTGCCAGCGTGGAGCTGACGGGACGGCAGCGGGGCTCCGCGCTCAGCGCAGTGCCAGCGCACGGGCACCGCGTCAGGACCTGGATGGATGGGCGGCTCCGGGAACGGGCTGAACTCCGCGGGGTTCCCGTACTGATGATTCCTGGGATTTCATTCTCTTTTGCACTAAACGTCTGATGAACATAAAGAAGAAAAACTGCAAATTCAGTGTCATTTATGCTCTCATTTACCTAATGATATTGCTCCCCGGAGGTATAGACAGCTCGCATTTCATCAAGTGAAGGAGATTACGTCCTAAAAACGTGTTTCTGGGCTCTGCTAACAGCGCCGGGCGCTGCACCGGGGACAGTGGGACAGCACGGGCCCGGCAGGGCCACTTCTATTGTCCGGGACGGCCCGACTGGAGCGTGCCGCGGGACAGAGAGCAGCCTCAGAGCGCCCGGCCGTGTGCGTGACCGGACCCGGTACTGTGCGGGAACCCACCTGTCCGCACCCCGTACTTGAGCGTGTCCCGGCAGTCCACCAGAATCTGCTCCAGGGACTCGGGGTTGTCCGATAGCTCCAGGTTGAAGCCCTCCATGCCCTCCAGCAGCTGGTGCGGGTGGTGGAAGTCCAGCACTTTGGTGGATCTGTCAAACGTCTTCCTCACGTAGTTGAGGAGTATGTCCACGACCTCCAGCAGGAACTGCATAGTCTGCTCCTCGCCATTCTTAGCGGGCAGCAAATCTGCGGGCAAAGCAGCCGTCAGCTCCCGCTTAGGGAGCGAGAGGAGGAAGTGAACAGCCCCCGGCCGCCCACAGCCATCTCGGCTCCTGGGAGCCGCGGCCCCGGCTCAGCGCTGCCGGAGGGGACGGAGGCACGGTGGAGCCTTGACTACCTGAGGCTGCTGGGGCCGATCGCCCGCTGGGGAAGGGTCCACGGGAACGAGCGGCAGTGCACCGCTACTGGCTGCTCGTCTCCCAGAAGCACCCAAACCCCAACAACAACAACCTCTTCCCCACCCTCCCCATCTCCGGTCCTATACTAGCAGCCACAGGCCGTTTATTGCTGATCTACTGAAGGGGAAATTAATTAAATACGAAGCTGCGAGCTGCCTCTGGAGTGACCCCGGAGGAACAGCTGGAGCTGAACTGAAGACGATCAGCCCAAAGTACAGCAAATTGCATTTCAAAAAACTTTTAAGCACCGCCAGCGCGGCTCTCAGCGAACACACACGCACGGCTTCCTCCAAAGCTGCCCAGTGAGCAGCAGCCCGGGCTGAGGCTGGCAAGGGTGCACGGAGCTGCAGGAGCGCTTACCTCGGGCATACAGGTTGGAGAAGTCCGTCTCGGTGCGGCGGAACCGGGCTTCCCGCTCGCTGTTCTCGCACGCCAACAGATTCTTGGAGGACTGCCGCTCCTTCAGGGAACCCACGATCCGGCTTTTGTCTTCCAGGCTGTTGGTCCTTTGCAGGAACCCTACATCGTTATTGCAAGGTGCACAGGTCAGGGTTTTCTCGCTTCCCAACATGTTTCGAAATACCTACAGCAGCTCTCTAGATAACAGTTCAAAGCAGCGTTTGCTTTGGATCTGACTAATGAGGTCAGGAATAAGAGTATTTATGGGGCTTATTTGCCTCCAGGAGGAGAGCTCAAAATGCCATCAACTGCAAAAACCCAGCCATGCAAAAAACAAATTTTTGTCACTTAGTGCAGTGGTACATTCTTATTAAGTCGATCAGACAGATTCCACTTCAGTAATCAGCCACTGGAAGAGAGTTCAGGATGAGTCAATGCTATTTCAGCCTGCAGGCGAAGTTTATGGACCTAACAGACAGGGGCAATGATGTATGATGAAAATCAGGGCCACTTTGCTTCTCGTGGTGCTCACACGCACAAAAGGCACGGGAGCGGGCGGCCGTTCTGCAGCGTCCTCCTCGGTGCCCTAAGGGCAGCGGCAGCACCCACCGCGCCCACCTCCCCGCTCACAGAGGGAAAGGTGCCCGCGGCAGAACGAGCCCCAAAGGTTCTGCCACTGCCCTCGTCCTCCCTAGGGGCTCCGCTCCCACCAGCGCTTAGGGCCTCGGCTCCCTGCGATACCAGGGTACGGCCAACAGCCGCTTTTCAGGGTTTGTCCCACTGAATTAGATGACGCCTGATAGAACACCCGTGGCGCTGCCCTTTCCTTCGCCAACGAAGGCAGTGGATTCCGACTTCCCGGCGGTGCGGGGTGCCTGGAGCAGGCGGCAGCAGAGCCAGGGCTCGGGGCGGCCATCGCGTTCTCTGCGGTTTTGTTTTGATTGAGGAACAGCTGAGCCCGAGTTCCTCCGTGCTCGGGACTGATCGGCAGAAAGGAACACTTTGGGGCGAGGAAAGCCAGCGCTGGAACTTCGCCCCCGACGCCGCTTCTCCCCGGCGCTCTCCGCTCCCGGCCGCGTGTCCCGGCCTCCTCGGGTCACAGCTCGGGACCGACGGGCTCTGTTTGTACGTAGCTGCGTTGGTACCACCGCTAACTGTCCCTGCAGTCAGTCAAGGGCTCCCACTCGTTAGGCGGACGGCTAACGCTGAAGCTGGTGCAGTTTAGCCTGAATTCCGGAGCGCCCATCTTTCCTCAGAGCCGTGGCCTCGCTTCGCTGTACTTTCCCATCCGTTCTTCTTCCCGGCTCCGCGCGAGGCGAGTGCCGCTGGGCCGGGCTCGGGATGTTGCTGAAGGCTCTGGCCGAGGACGTTCGCACTGCTGGTGCTGACCGGGCCGCAGGGAAGTGCGGCAGCCTTGGCTCGTGGCTCCTTCCACGCCCGACCGGGCCGCGTCCGTGTCCCGCGTGGAAAGAAAACCACACAGAGATTCAGAGAGAAGCAAAGCACGGCCTGCTGCCAGGGCCGCCTTTCCGGTAGGGACGAGGAGCGCAGTGCTTCCCAGCAGGGGTGCACCGTGCCCCTCTGTCAGGCGTTCCCGTCGACGTGCATGAAGAGGCCGAACATGTGCAAGCAGAGGGAGGGCTGCGATGGAGCTCCTCGGGCCCGGAGCGACCGCAGATCTGCGTGACCCCACAATCGGGGCTCGGCAGGGACGGCCCCGCGGCTCCCCACTCAGCTGCGGCCGCGACTCCGCGTCCCGGCTCTCCACAGGCAGCGTGAATCCCGAGTGCTCCGGGCACGAGCCGAGCTCCCGGCATGCGCTGCTCGCGGCCATCAGCCGGTACCGAGCAGCTGCCGACGCACCTGAGCGGTTTTCTTACGCCGGGTATTTCCACCGATCCCAAGGAAATGGTTCCAGAATCGGCCCCGGCAGCGCTGCTAATTGCAGGAGCCGTGCACGCGGCTCCGGACGCAGAGAGAAAGCTGTCTGCACTTCATACGCAGTGACAGTCTCTGAAACCTCTTTAAAATGCTATTATTATTATTATTATTGTTGTTTTATAGTAGCTCTCTTCAGACGGTGGCTATCAGGCAGGTAAGGGGCTCATCCTGACGCCGGTCCGTTGTTAGAGGGGAAACGGCACATAAATCTCGGGTATGTAATTACCGGTAATGTCAGGCACCAATACACAAGCCACCCTTTGTTCAGAACCCGCGCTCCCTGTGAGCTGAGCTCTATTTCAAGTTCGCATTCTCAAAGCGAATCGATTTCTGCGTGACACAAAAAGGAACGAACCCGAGGCGCTGCTCTGCCACAGCTCGGTGACGGCTCGGCATTTAGTGTCGGAACAGCGTCTTGCGAAAGGCACGGACGAGGAGATAGTGGCTGTAACAGTTTGACGTTGCCTTGTTTCGCACGTGTGATTAGGGGTTGGCAACCTTAGCGCTGTGCTCCGTGTATTTCCCGAAGGCAGCATTCCCGTCCGCTCCGCGGAGCTGGCACATCCCGGGCTGAAGGCTCAGCAGAGCACAAAGAGTAGTTGCGACCGAACCTCCCTATTCCCAACCCCATGGGCATGGGATATTTGTCTCGCCAAACAGAAGGAAAAAAAGCCAGAAAAGGGAAACAAACAAACAACCCAAAAAACAGAACAAACCCCACAGCATCCGTGCTAGCTTTGATTTCCCTTCAGAAAGCCAGCACTACGCGCTCCTGCCGTTCTCCGATCCCAAGCGGTGCTGGGGCGCGTCATTTCCAGTGTGTCTGAACCTGCACCCACACAAAGGGAGCTGTGCTGTCCCCCCATAACCCCGCTCCGGCGGCGCGCAGCGGGCCCAGCAGGGCGTTACTGCATCAGTGCTGCTCGCCAGGCTAAATTAAAACGATGATGAGAAGCCCATCGCCGCAGCAGCTAAGGGGAACGCTCCATTACACCCGGCCCGGGGCTATTTATAGAGCCAAGCGGCTGTCGGTAATGTGCCTGCGGGTGTCGATGGGATCACTAATACGTCCCAGGTCACGCACTTGCACCCTCGTCCTTTTTCAGTCCAAACTTCCACGTAACGAAACGTGTAGCGAGTGAGCTTCGGCTCGGGAGGGGAGGGCAAGGGGCTCAAGTATGTCATTGCTTGGACAGAACGTCCATTTCTCTCCCCTGCCAACCAGCAGAGAGGCAGTAGGGGAATGGGAAATCCCGTCCATATTCGCAGGGCACAGCAGAACGATTCTTGCCATCATAAATGAAGATCAGCCTGTTTGTCTCCGAAAGCGAAAGCGCCGCTGAGAAATCCGGAGCAGGACGACAGCTCGTTATCTGCAAATGAATCTCCTGCTCTAACATCGCGATCTGATTGTGCATTTGTTTCCCTTTCTGCGTTCCATGTGCCTGCGCGCTGACTGGCTGCCAGCGCTATCTTACCAGCGCAGCACGCTGACGGATTGCTCTTTAATAAGGCTCTCGTTAATCTTTCTTCCCCAGGAGATCCGTATTTTCTACTCCGATAAGGCTGAACAATTTCAGACGGAGAGGCGGCCAAGCCCCCGCTCGCCCCCCGCTGAGCCCCGCTCCCCGCAGGAGGGGCGGAGGGGCAGCGGCCGTCCCACCCGCGCCTGGGCACCTGGGAGCGCACCCGGGGCGCGGCGCTGAGCTGCCGAGAGCCCGCCAGGGGGAGCCCGAGGCCGGTGCGCCCGGTGCTGGGGCGGAGGGGTTCGCGCCCCGACGGAGCGCGGTCGGAGGGGCGTGCCGCAGCTCGGGGTGGAGCGTCCCGCGGGAGGACTTACCGCATATCTTCAGGCCGATCTTCCTGGTGCATCCGTGCGCAACGCCGCACCACGAGTCGTAGGCTGCAAGAGAGGGCAGAGGCGTTGCCTGGTGCGGCGGGATCCCAGTGGGACCGCGGCCGCGCCCTGCGCTTCCCCATCTCGTTCCCTCCCCGACCCGCCGTTTCGGCGGGCAGCCGGGACTCCTCCTCCCCGCGGCGACAGAGCCGGGAAGAGAAAGAACGGCACCTGGGGCCGGAGCATCCCATCATGCACTGGCGGGGCTCCAGGGAAGTGGCAGCTTGAAATAAAGTGGCGTGAAATAGGGTCACAGACGAGTTCAGGAATTAATTGGGTGAATAATAGTATTCGTCTCGATGAAGGGACGTGGCTGGCTGGGCCGGGGCCGCGCTGTCGGGCCGCCGGCAGCCGTACCGGGGACGCCCCGTCCCGGCCCTACCCGACGCCCATTGCCCGCGGCGGTTCAGCCGGGCTGCACGACCCTAAGCGCCCCAGGAAACGCCACCGAGCGGCGAGGCCGGCTCCTGCCTGGTTCAGCCCGGCCGGCCCGACGGGAACGAATTCTTCCCCGGCGCCCCGGCCGTGTCCCGCCGAGACAGAGAGAGAAGGGCGGCGGGGCTCCCACCACGGGCCCGGGCTGAGGTGGAAGGAGAGCCCGCTTCGGCCCATACACAGTCGAGCCGCGGAGACCTTTCCTTCCACGCCGGCGGCGGAGCCGTGAGACTGTCGCTGGGACGAGGTAGAGGAGTACGGACCCGCCGCTCCACGCCCGATCCCGCACCACCTCCACGGGCGGTGGGACGGCCGCAGAGATGGCGGACCCGAGCGGGAGGGAAGAGAGCGGGCCGGATCCGGGCTCAGTGAGCAGCGGGGAGCGCTGTCGGGCCCGGCAGAGGAACCTTCCCGACGGGGTCGGGCGGTGCGGTTCTTGCGCTGCCCCTCCGTGCAGCCCTTCACCCCGGTGGAGGCAGCCTCGGCGCTCGCCCCCTCCCCCCGACCGTGGGACAATGACAGCCATGGCTCATCGCCCCGACAGCCTTTCCAGGGTAAAAGCGGTGCCCTCTCCGCTGTGCCTCTCAACCTTTCGTTTCTTCCTGCCGCCCGCTCTTTGTCTGTGGCTCTTTATAGCACTGAGCCGTTCTTTTGAGTATTTTGGCAACCGGCAGGGCCGTCAGCTGATCCCACATCCACCTGCAGCAGCCTCCCCTTCCCACTCGCACCTCAGTAACTAAAAGCGAATTCAGAGCAATTAGGAATACAAGGCTTTGAAAAGCTGCAATTAGCATCCCAATTTCGCTTGATTATAGGCTTCAGCGCGGGTTGAAAGGAAGCGCTAGCATTAGCATTTATAAAATGTGCGAGGGGGAAGAACTCGCTTTGAGCCACCGCTGTAACTTCGCCCCTCTACGGATTCGTTTTCCCCCCGCCCCGACGACATCCCCATTTTTTCGGCAGCCCGCGGTGAAAGAAGGGCTGCGTGGGGGCTCTCACCGCCTCACGGACCCCGCTGTCTCCGGGAGGCGGTTCCTTTGTGTGAGCACTTCGCGCACCTTGTCTGGCGGCGCGGAACGGGCGGCACTGATCGATCGTTTCGTTTGGAAACGGGGCTTCCCGAGCCTGAGCGGAGAGAGCCTCCGAAACGCTTTAAACGAGGAAAATAATAAAACCTACTTGTAGGTCGTAAATTGGTTGGGGCGGGGTCCGGAGCGTCGTTGGAGGACGAGGGAGCGGAGGAAGCCATCCTTTCAGAACAGCCCCAGTGCCCGGAGTTCGGCTTTCCTTCGATATTCCTCCGAGGGCGAGTGGGCAGCGAGGAATTTACTGGAAGGAAGGAAGGAAGGGATAGAAGGCGCGTTTAGTAGCCCGCTCTTCTGGAGGACCGCGCGGGGGGGCGTGGATGCCGGCGGGTGGGAGGCGGCGGCCCCCGGTGAGCAGCGCGGGTCCCAGGACAGGTCGGGCTCCCGGGCCGAGTGGGGCTGCTGGGCGCGGAGGCGGCCGTTCCGGGGCCGACGCGCTGAGGGTCACGCAGGGAAGATGCCTCGAGAGGCTGAAGAGCAGCCGCGTCCCCTCGCTGGATGCCGAGGCGCTACCCCTGCGCCGGAATGACGGGTTTAGCGGACCGTGAAGTCTATCGCAATTATATCGGTGGCCACTGAGCAAGGCGATGAGGTGACTCGCGTCAAATGGAAACCAATGTGGGGAGCGGGCTTCGAAATGACCGGCCCTGATGATGACCTACAATCCCAACCGCAGCCCATTGCCGTGCCTTATCAGCCGATCCCCGAAATACACGCCAGGCTGAGCGTCCTACCGCTAAACCCCCGCCACAACAAAGGTGCTTTTTTGCCCAAGCCCAACGACACGCGTCATGCACGTATGTGTTTGCACACACGTTTCAGCAAATCAGGGGCAAGGCACGCTCCGGCACGGCCCGTTTGCCATGCAAGCTGCCGGTGCTGATGGTACGAGGCGGCCGGGGGAAGCAGACCGGCCCCGATCCCACCAGATGTGCTCCTTCCTCCACCCGCTGGCACTCGGGTGTCGGCAGAGAACGGCCGGGTCAGTGTCCCGCTCGTCCTTTTGTCGCCGTAGCTACCTGCGATTTATTTTATTCCCCTTGTAAAGAAAATGAAGGTCGCGGTAACGAACGAGCGCTTTCTTTGTTAGCTGCTGGTTTCACGTCGGTAGCTAACGGTTCGTTGCCATTGTTGGGCGGATTTACATCTCCGTGTAAACGCAACGCATCGATAATTTCAATGGTAAACGGGTATTTCGCTTTTTTAAGATGAAAAAGAAAACGGTCATAAAGGAGAAGCGATTCTCCAGACAATGCCTGGAAGCGAAGTAACAGGTTAACGCGATGTCTAAGGCGCTGGCTGTCTCGAAATACCCGTTATCCGTGTGCAGCTACGACAGCGATCAAAACCAAATTTAGGAGAAACAAAAGCTCTGGATCCTGAAAGCTGTTCTCAAAGCTTTGGAAATAGGACGCGGATGAGCGGAGACTTACCGAGGGGCGAGCGGATCGCCGTGCTACCGGAGCCCAGGCAGCAGCGCGACTTCAACCGGGAGCGACTCGCCGCTTATAAACTCCGCCAGAAACGACGTCGGAATACCAATCGCGCGGCGGAATTTAATGCGAGCTGACCTTTTTTTTTTTTCCAGAAGTACTCGGATTTGCTTTTTTAAAAGCGTGAATCGCCGACTGAGCTACTTCGACGCAGGCATGAGTCACAGAGCTGCCACCGCCCCCTCCGCGCCGCTCCGCACGGGGCTGAGGCGGAGACTGGAGGGGCGGCCCCGCTTCGCCCCGCCGCGCAGGCCCCCGGTCTGAGCCGGCCCCCCACGCAGGGCTTGCCGCCTGGCAAGTCCCGGTGCCGGCGGCGCTTCCCGCTTTCCCTAGACAGCGCCGGTTCGCCCCAAGGCCTCCGAGCGTGCCGACGGGCGGTACGCCGCCGGGCGCAGCGGCGTGAAGGCGAGGCGACCGGGCTCACCCCCGGCCCCAGGCTCCGGCCCGCCCCGCACCCTGCTTCACCGCCTCTCTCCCTCCGCCAGAGGGTGGCAGAGGCACGGGCACCACCGCTCGCTGTGCATTCCCGGCCGCACGGGCACACCTGGATCTCAGTGACTCTCCCAGTGCTGCCGCTGGATTACCGCTTTACACCCGCCATCCTTTTGCTAAAACGCGGAACATTTGTTTTTGCACCTCCGACAGCCCTAAACCCACGTTTTCCCACCCCACACCCCAAGCAATGCTTTGCTGACACGTCGCGGCGGTGAACGTGGTGCTAGGTGCCGACGTGTTGTGGTAACTACGCAGACGCCCAAAGCAAACTCTGCTGGCAGAGACGACACTTAAGGGGCTGGAAATAATCCACAATGAGACGGGAGGAGGGAAGCAGCCAGGTGGGGCTGGAGGATTCAGCCACTTGCGGAGGTGCAGGGCAACGGGATATGTTCTTCCTGAGGGGCTTGAGGTAAAGGGCAGGAACTTCAACTCTTTCACGGAAAGGAGAGCCACAGACTGAGGCATTATGCGGCCAAGACGACTGCTGTGCCGAGCGGACCTACTGTCTAGGAAGTGAACACGGAGGACTACCAACGAGAGCACCAGAGGCAGCTTTCAGACACACCGAGGTGCTGACCGTCCGGGATGGCGTGACCTTCTGCCATCTATTCCAGGGGATGGTGTTTAAAGGTGGTTTCAGACAAGCGGGAAAAGCGTTTGCACGATGTGGAGCGTGAGAAATATAATTGTAGCTTATTGTCTCTACAAATAGACATAGAAATAGACATTCACAGGAAATCGTGGCAGAATGGCAGTGCGAGGAATCAACGAAAGATCGCACAAAGACCTCAGAAGCCATCCATCACCGAAAGTGCCACCCACCGCGCCGTGCCCTGGAGCGAACACCGTGCTTTAGCACCGAGGGGAAGCCGCCGGGTCGCGAAGCTCCGCCGCCGCAGCCCCTCGGAGCTGCAAGGTTCGGCACCACGGACAGCGCCCGTCGCGCCCTGCGTCGCCCGAGCGATTCCGAACGACCGCGAGCGATTCCGAACGGCCCCGAGGGAGGCGGAGGAGGCAGAGCCCCGCGCGGCTCCGTGCGCTGCCAGCCCCTCGCTGCCGGCCGGGCAGAGCGCCGTGGGGGCGACGCAGACGGGGCTTGGCGGCGCCCCCGAGGCCCTCCAGGTGGCGCTGTACCTCAAGGCCCAGCAGGCCGGGAGGCGGCAGGCAGCGGCCGGCGCTCCGTGCCCCCGCCAGAGACCGAGCCCCAAAGCCATCCTATGCGCACAGCGCCGCATCTGCGGAGGTACACTGCGTGCTCATCACTGAGCACCCCCGCAGCGCACGCTCTTTTCATAACCACGTACACAACCGAGTGCGTGCCCAGCAGCTGTGGTGGTCCTGACATTGTATTGAGGTGTTTTTGTCTTTGCTGCCTCCGATCCTTTTGATTTTATTTTTTTTTTAAACATGCATTTATAATAACATATAACCAAATACCTTATTACTATAACCCACGCTGACTGCATCAGGTATTTTTTTCCTTCGTCACAATTTCTGGTGCAGTTATGTCTCATTTACCTGTGTGTTTGTTGGAATGGAACAATTTAAATGACAAATTTCAAAAGAACCGGAAAACAGTTCAAAACAAAGCTATTCAGAAGTGTTCTGGCTTTCACTTGCACTGATAAGAAATACAAATAATTACAAAAAAATAGTGAACATGCTGAGAAAAACTAACAAATGATTGTTCTAATTACTTGCCCTGTCCAAAAAGATTTACAAAAGGAAATTGACTGGAGACCTCTATTCTAAAGATAACTTGTGCTCTCTGTTTTACATCACCTCATTAAGATTCACTGTAGTTCAGAGGTAGCTTTTGGTTTTGCCATTGACCAGTCACTGATGTACACAACTGTCCCAACTGCAAGGACTCTATCCAGCACTTGCATTTCAAAGGCAGCTCAAGGAGAGCTGCCAGCTAGAATACTCAGCACTGCTGTCATGAAGGGCATTTGCAGAAGTCTAATCCAAAGCACACTGTTTTACATACTTTGTGTCTTCTTGCTGCAGAACGTCCCCTTCCTGATCCACGCTGGCAGGAGTTGCTGTCTGTTTTGATCTGCTTTGTCTGAAAAAAATTCCCAAGTATAACCCACATCCCAAAACAACAGCAGGAGCAAATCCCCATTGCCAGTACCCGCCAGCAAACATGGAAGGAAAGAAACTCCTTAACTTCCAAACCAGACCAAAATAAAAAAACAAGAGAAAGACTTATTTATCTAGATAGATTAAAAAAAAATACTTAAGTCGTGGAGCTGTAATTATAGCATGAACAAATAGTAACAGCATTATACCCAGTAAATCTGCTCCCTATTAGTTTTAGGGACTTGCACCCATTTACCCTGTGTTCAAAATAAATTTTATTTCTAGCTTCCATCATTAACCCTGTGGAGCTGAGAAAGCCAATGCCCTGAGTCTCCCCTTGTGATTTGTTGCTGTAATCGTTACATGCCTCACTGAGCTGTATCTTTTTATCCCATTGGAGGGCATCAGTTGACAATTAGAACATTCAGTAATTTCAGTAATGCTGCTGCAGGAGATAACACAATTTGGCTCTGCAGTCCCAGAATGAATGCATAGAGATGAACTCTGGGATCTTTTAATATATGATCTATTTAAATTAAACACACTTCATAAAGAATCTTCTGGAGACAGAAAACATGGGCTTTTCTTGTTCTTAAACCATAAATCACTCTCAGGTATACAGGCTTTCTTAGGTCTCAACAGTTACCAGAATCTCTATAGCTGTGCATTTGCCCTTTTATTTTCCCTCCTCCTTTCTTTTTTCCCCCTCTTTTCTTTTTTCTGTGATGGTCAAGTCAGGGTTTGGTTTTAAAAGCTTGACAGCTTCACCTAAAGAAACATTAGCACCAGTGAAATATCAGGCCTTTTACAGCCAAATATTTGAGAAGCCTGATCCCTCTGCTATTTTTTAGCTACATAACAGAAATTTACACACATATATATATACACATACATATACACACACATTTTTTTCCTACCCAAAAAGGAAGCTTCAATGCACACGGCTGAAATAAAAGGGGTTTAAGAAAACAGTTTGTAGCTAACACACAGCAAAGTGCAAACCAAGCACATTGCAGAAACACAATATGGAGGCATGACAGTATGAATAGATACTTTATCCATCAGACAGAAAGGATAGGTAGGTAAGAATTTTTTCCCCCTTTCTCTGAATGAGCAGTTTATATTTTCAAATCTGAGGAGTTTCATTATTTGAATTCTCACAATAAACAGATGCATCCTATTTTGAGGAATGGAGGATTGCATGAGCTTAAGGCAAAGCCATCAGCTGTTACACACACCTTTCTTTTCACTACTTAGTATGAGAGATTATACGAGAAAACTAAGGATCAGTTTTAGGGAAAATGCACTTCTCCCTGATCCAATGATGCGATTCAAACTGAACACATTGCTCCCAAACTGAAATTCAGATTAATGTTACAGACACATATTCAGATCTATTAACGTAATAAATTCCTGTCCTCTACTTTGATACTTCAGAACTTCTCTCCAACTGTTCATTTACTGAATGCTCTTGGCTCCCCATGCTGGCATTTTGATAGCTGCTCTAGAAGGAGACAACCACAGGAATGAGCAGAGCTGCAGCCATCTCAGTGGGTGTTAGCCATTCAGAGCTAGAACAAGAAAAAATCTAGCCATGATATTTTTAAGTTTTTTTTTCTTTTAATTTAAAGTTTGCACACAGCAGATTAAGAGCATAA